AAAACTTTTTGATGGTCAACCAATAAAAGTATCTACAGTTATAAACACTTCCCCACCAAAAGTTTAATAGGTACTTTATGGTTTGGCCTAGAAACTGTAGCTTAATTATTAAATTGGGTGAAATCATTGTTTAAATACTTTATTTAATTAAACAGTGGTGAAACCTATCTTTAAATGTTAAGAGAAGAAAAAAAGGACGAAGAGAAGAGAAAACAAGTTAAAAAGTAATCGTAAACGATTTACAAAAAGTGCATTTCCACTTGCATTCATTTCCCATTTGTAAGATGCAACTTCTTTTAAAATCGTAAAAATCCGGCCACAAATATGAAAAATAGCGTTGCAAATGTGCAATCCATTTTTGACATGCTACTTCAATTTCAGTTTATAAGAAGAATTTCATTTCATTTTTTTTTCTAAATAAGAAAGTTGGAACTGCGCATGCGCAAATCTAAATTTTGAAACTAACGTTAGATTTTCCTTTGTTCCAAGCGCCTATGTATCAAATTTCTTTAAATGCTTCCATAGATAAAAAAGTTAGCAATGCGCATGCGCAAAATAAAATTTTGAAACTGGCGTTAGATTTTCTTTTATTACAAGCACCTATGTATCAAATTTCGTTTAAAGTCTTCCATAAATAAAAAAGTTGGACCTGCGCATGCGCAAAACCAAGTTTTGAAACTGGCGTTAGATTTTCATTTATTCCAAGGGCCTATGTATCAAATTTCATTCAAATACTTTTATAAATAAAAATGTTTGCAATTCGGCTTATAAATGACCGAGATGCGAAAAGGGCACTGTGAATTTTGAACCGATTCGACTCAACTGTTGGCATTGTGTATTATATGGCTAAAGCTATGGCCATATTGAATTTCATCCAATTCAGTTCATAACTAACGGAGATGTCAAAGCGATCGGACATTTCTAACCAAAGTTGTCGTTCACACGGACAGATAGAGGGACAGATAGACAAAGGAACAGACAGACAGACCAACAGACAGACGACAGACAGTAATACAAAATTATAGGATCGTTAATAAACGGCAAAAGTGTAAAATTATGGAACATGTAAAAAACGATTTGTTGGTTTTTGTACAATAACTTTTTTAGTAATAAACGCAGAAAAAATTCCTTCCTTCGTGCAAGCCTCGACACCATAACGAACCAAATAACGAAAAAAGTAGAACAATAGCTGTTAAGATAAAGAACTAGTAGCGTCTCAACGAACGAGCGGACGGACGGACGGACAAAGTGGCCATAATAGCGCATTTTTTTTGTGTGGAAATGCGCTAAAAATGTTTCACAGCGCACTCGTGGGTGTTGCTGCATAACACCACTGTAAATGATGATGAGTAACGGAGCAGTATAAAACATAATAGTTATCAAATAGCGAAAACCCGAAGTCTCTAGGTGGCCGATGGAACAGACCGAGGAACAGACAGACGATATCAAGAGCGCGAAAGTGCACTTTTTATTTTTGCACTGCACTACTTACAGACTTTGGTATTGGTGTCATTCGATAGGGGTATTAAAACGATAGTGCACTCCGCGTTTTTTGTTCGCAAGCGGCTTAACGAATATTTTTGTAATTAGTAATCCTTGACCAATTTGCTATTAATTTTCTGTTAGGATTAACGACTGTGAAATACAGAAATTTTTCTAGGGGTTATTACACACAATCACGACTTACGAGAGTGCCGGGGTACTTTTATAGAGGAAAAGATGTCACCCAATGAAATAACGAAAACAATAACCCTTCAAAACGGTGTAGTATGGATTTTATTTACTTTCTTATTGTTTGTAATTGACGAGGTGAGGTAATTGACTTGCGGTTTGGGGTGAGTACTAATCTAACGTTATTCTCAATTATCGCGAATATGTATTTTACTTTGATAAACCAGACGTTTATTCGAGATAGGCAACCAATAGTGCATACGAGTATACCAATTCCTTTCCAGACAATTTAACAATGAAATAAAATTGATACGAATAAATTATCCTGATAATTTAGCACTAATTACAACTGAAAATAATATTTTTGGCTAGTCTCACTGAAAACTAGGTAAGAGAAATTCTGAATGAAATGGAGATACTTTCAGTTTCTTCAGGAGTTATTGGGCGGCACACTAATCGTCAAAGGTAACTATGAGCGACCATTTCCTTTAGGATTTACGACACATTTAAATACATAATTCTGAAAGGAAGGATTAGCTTTTATTTGTATCCAAACAAACGTGCATCATAAAGTGGTGTTGCAAACAACGAATTCGCGGTAAACTTAACATCCTATTGTATTTTGAAAAGCGGAAGACCCCGTATGGTGACTTCTTTTGACTAACAAATTGCTGAGTTTAACTAAAGGAGTATTAATGTCGGATGCGTAATCACTGTAAAATGTCTTCCGTGAAAATTTTGCCTAAACATTCCGGTGTTCTACGCATTTACCTACGCTTTACTAATTGACACGGTTTCTGTGTAAAATCACCCCTACTAGCTATAACAGTATTATTGGTAGATCGCTGTTGCAAATTGAATCTATTAGAGATTAAAATTAATTTGTTATCCATTACTTACAATTCCATTAATTGTTTTTATTTTTAATTTTTTGCAAATGCCTGATTTGATATATTGGGAATTCAATTAGCAAATCTAGTTGGTTTTTCGTACATATGAAGAGTTTGACATTTGTCAATAATTGATTGGTTTGTCGGTGTCGCATTTTTATTAGTTGACAGTTTTTCTCGTCTAATCCCGGTCTAATCTCGTCTAATTGCTAGGTAACAGATTTTCATTACCTAAACAACTCACATTTACTTGGCAAAATACAAACCTAAAGGTACGTTTCCTATGAAGCGTCTGACGCGTGCGGCTGACACAATGCACCGCCTCAATAGAAAGCAATGGAAGCATGTTCTAACCTGCATGCGGCGAACGTCTCCAGTTGTTTTCGTAAAAGCCACACCGCGTCAGACGCTTCATAGGAAACATACCTTAAGAGTCTTCTTTACCTAAGCGCAACTTTTTTACATTATAGTGTATAGATGATTATAGCTGCAAGAGATAAGATGATATTCTTGCTTTGTCAACTCCTGTCTTGGTCCTTAGTTAGTTCCCACCGACACTGTGCAGTGGCGCCACTTGTTACACTCAAATTGTTGATTTAACGCCCGCCAAGATACAGACTTTATTTACAAAAATTATGATTTCATATTTTGGGGTCATGTTTAGAAGTAACTTATCTAAAAAAACTGTCGGTTTACTTTTTCCATAAATCGTCTTGATCGAGAGTAAAAAAATAAAACAGATTAGCGCAATAATCGGTGCGAAACACCTAATCTTTAAACAATCGGTATTAAAGTTGCTATAAACATTAAAAAAAAAATAGTCCGAACATTTTGTAGATAAAGGTCTAAATTTATAAAATAGTTCTTAAAAAACATTGTTTTTGGAAAAACAAATAGAGTTTTTATGGCGGGCGCTCTTATGGAAATTTACATTGGATGCAGTGGGTACAGAAGACTCTTAAGACTAAGGACAGCCTAACTTGAAATCTCTTTCTTAAAATTAACCATACACTAGATTCAATTTGTGCTTAGGATAAAGATAGGAAGTCCAACAACAGTGGTGTGTACCGAGTGAGTTTTATGTCTTGCCATTCCATGTATTTATTGGCAAAACATTTTTGGCTAATGTGCAGGTAAGTGTTATTTGGGGTAATGAAATAGAACCCGAGAACACCAAAATGTCATATGTAGGTAGTACTTCTTAACCATTGTCCTAAATGGACAAATCCTTATATTTTTAGCGCATTTTCGAAAAAAAATACGCAATTATATTCGTTATTTTTTTAAATTTTATTTAATTTATTCTCCCTCTTGTTCTAAGCCCAGGTTTACGTCCAATTACAGAGTGGCCCGCATAATGCTTTCAACCATTTTACTTTTTTATGGCGTCTTTAACAAAATTATACAGAAAAATGGATTTTAAAATGGCCGTGTGTATTTGTGTAATAGTCTGCAGTATGCCTATGACAAGAAATGAAACTCACACCCTCATTAGTTCCATCTTTCTGGTTAGTTTTGTTATACGACCTGATAAAAGCGTAACAGTGAAAAAATATCCTGACTTCAAAAAATACATGTCAACAAAAATGCATTAGACTAAAAAAATTTTAATTTTTTGATTAAGTGCCCCATAAGGCTTCTTTAAGTATTAAGAGTATTAAAGTAGATAAAAATTGCTGCGTTTCAAAGAGAGTTTATGTATTATGCTTCTTATAGGTGATCGATTGCGAATTTTTTAAATTATGTATGTCATAGTCAGGCCATAGCTAAAAATGTTTTCACGAGTTTTTAGTCTAAGTAGCCATGGACTATGTTTTTCTTTTATCATAGTCCATGGCTACTTAGATTAAAAACTCGTGAAAACAGAATCTTTATAATTAATTTTTTCGCGTACAAGTGTAACGACTATTTCAGCTAATTGCGATGTTTAAATATGACTAACTCAGCCGGATAATTTGGCTAGATGCAAATAAAAGTATTATAAGATTTCAGGGCGCCAGGTCCTATGCCTAGAAATTGACCTCTAATGGACCAATCAGAGGGACAGTTCCACAATCAAGCTGTCCAAGTAATTCCCATGTAATTTGTTCCAAAAATAATCGATTTATTAGCTCACGGACTAGTAAAAAAATAATAGCTGGTAAATAAGGTGTGTATATTAAAATTTAAATAAAATAGCAGTTTGTTGGCTACAGGTATACAGCAAAATATAAGGAAAAATATAGATTCAACACTTTCCAGAGTTGGCTTTACATACAGCCATATAAGTCGCGCAAACGAACAATTAACATAAAAAAAATAAAAATTAATTAAAGCTACTCACCGTTTGTCCCGCGCAGTCCAACAATGAATTTTTATTCCACAGTAGTTCGGTGTAGCAAGCGCTTGCTCGACCTACCCTGTAGATGACAAATAAAAAAAACTGAAGGCAAGAACGACCTGCGCGCTACTAGTGGCACAGTTCGAATTAATTAAATTATAAATAAAATAATAAATAAGCTCTAATACGATATGACCAGCGTTCTGGAAAGCCCTAAATTAACATATATGAAAACTTCTTGTTTAGGTAGGTAAGTATGTACTGTTTCTTTCTTAGGATAATGATAACTTCTTTCAGCTTTGATTGAACTCCAATATGCCACTAGGTATCTTCGCTGGTTTTCCAAGAATCCCAAGCGAATGGTATATAACAATCCCGTAGTAGCAGGTGTAATTCGAAATGAGTAACGATGTTGGTAATGTTACATTTATATCTAATAAGCTATAATGACATAATTTACTTTATAGAGCGCTAATTATACAAGATCTTACCAGGTGTTTGGCTTCTTTCTTCGTGTAGTAAAGATAGCAGATAACAACTAGATCCCACAATGTGGTTTAATTGCCAAGTCTAATCAATGGTACTACTAAACTAATTAATGCCTTGACAATTTCTTCAATAAAATACTGGCGGTAAAATCTGGCCTAATTGCCTATTTAAACTAATTAAAAATGCCACCAAGTAAAAATTATGTACTGCTTTCTATACAGGAAGAGAACAAGTGGTAAGACCTTGATGAATTTTGGGAATTTTCTGCATATGCAAACTATAACTTGATTATTGATAACATTCCTCATAACAATAAATAATATTTTTACACCTAAAGGAACCTCCTAGTGCATATGCAACATATATTGCTTTTTAAAATGTAACACAAGAAGAGGTAGAATAATCGTTTCACATAAATTAGATGCAGAATTTATATCTCTATAATTTTTATTTGAAGTATTTTTGCGTAAAATAATTAGGAAACGTTTGCGCAAAGAAAAAGTAATTATGTTCCACTTTTCGATTTACACCCTGTACTATCCTGTGTAAAGATACGAATTTTTGCCCGGAATATCAAGTTATTTATCGAATAATAATTATTTTTTAATTAAATTTTAAGATTCAGTAATTAGTTTAATCGATCATAATTGACTTGGGATTTATTATTTTAGGGGAAGCTAATTGCGAGTTTCATGGGAAGTTTAAAGTACACGTTTGATGAAATTCATATACGAGAATATTTTGTGTAATTAGCGTGTTTGGAGACACCATGACTTGACTACTGTTTTCTCTCGTTAATTTGACTTCATTGTTATACTACCCTCGTATCTTCTCAATTACATATGGGGAGAGTTAAGATAGAAATTGAGTGAATTGGAAAGTTGTAGCGAAGTGTAGAAGATCCTGATGCCCAGAAAGAACTACCGCTGTGGAAGACCCCAAGCTTTCTTTTATTTTATAATCTAACTCTGAGCTAGTTGGTCGTTTATGCGGCGGGTTTGAGGTAAAGCAGCGCCAACCTAAACCTGATGATACTACAATCAATATAGAGAAACGCGCTGAATGGATGGTAATATCGTATAAAGAATTAAACAAATGGATAATGTAATGTGCAATTAACAAATACATCGAGAGGTTTACTTTACTTTATGTAAACTATAGTAGTGCATCCAAAGGTTAAGACAGGTTGTTACGTAAACACAAACAAAATTACAACGCATCCGTGTGTTCTTTGTAGATCATATAATTGCTTTTCTACAACTGCGTCGTCGTTCACCAAATGATTGTGGTATTTCCGGAAGAACGTAGGTAGGTATATTTGAAGGTAGGTAAAATAGGAAAGTCATTATATCTTTTTCATATTTGGTATTGAAGCATATCTTTTAATTGTAACCGGTACGTGTACAATTACAAAGACACGCCGATTTTTAACCTTTTACTCACACGAACGGAAATGGAACGGAAATTCTTAAGCGGTAAAGGCGAGTTGTGCTCATAATTGACCATGTTTTTCTTCTTTTATAATCTTAATATTCTCTAAAAATAGACACGTTAAGCTATAAAAACTAATAAAACTGTTTGCTTAAGTATGAGTGTTTGGCCACTTTGGTATTGATTTAACTTAATCGCGGATCACTAATTCCATCAGCAATGTGACCTCATTAATTAAGGAATAGACCGCGATCTCTATGTATGAATGGCTTTTTAAGATACATTTCCTGATCGCCTCCAATGAACGGATTTAGGTTTAAAAAGTATGCATTCAAATAAATGTAATTTTATTATTGATCATATCTTTATTGTAAGGGTGTAAATAGATTTTAAACCATAGATTAGAAAAGGTTCAGCTTAAACTCTTATGTGGTAACGTTTTTCCAACAACAAAATGCTTGGTTGTGTCCACCTTTTGAAATTAATAGATGTCCCATTTTAAAATAAACAGTATGTGTGAGAAACCTTCAGATGGGATTTTTTACTTTTTTTTTTTTTAATTTCTATTTTAGTGCATTGCTGTAATATACCTAACCACTGTCTTATTTTAGTTAGCTACTATAAAAAAAGCAGAAGTAGACTGTCACCTTGGCTAAACATTGTAATAACCCAAATGTGTAATCCAACCACTCACTTCAATAAATTGTTAAATACAAATAGAAGAACGTTATTTAGCGGCAATTTACGACCTTTATGATTAATTATTTTGAAAATATATTGAAGTTGCGGAAATGGGCAATTTAAGTTTTTGTTTTGTTTATTGTTATACACCGGGCTTAACACTCAGACTACCTATCCTGCGTTTTATTTCGAAACTTTTAACTTCAGCGTATTATCCTCAAAGTGAAAAATCGCTATTGGCTGCACTTTGTCGTCCGTCAGTATGTACGTCCGTCCGTCCGCCCATCACACGTACCTCCTTCTACACCACTGAACCGATTTGGGTGATATAGGGCTCGTTTGAAAGGGCTTGGTCCAAGGATTCCGTACATACGGATTTTACATTTTTTTGGTTTTGCGCATGCGCAGTGTCAGAAATTTGGTTTAACGCATGTACTTTTTTATTTATGAAGATATTTAAATGAAACTTTATAAGTAAATACTACGAATAAAAGTCAAATTAATATTTAATATTTTTCTATTATTGCATACAGTGGGGCCATCGGTAAGTCTAAGAATCTTTAATGTGTATATCTATAAAAAGTTCTGACTGATGTCACTACATTGCGACGTATACTTCGTTTTTACTTTATTTACTTTTTTAGTGTCTGGCGTAGTGTATACGCGGTGTCTTTTATCTGCCATTACTCCTTAAATGAAGAAACGCCAATTTTAAACATGATATAAAATGAAGTATCGTAGTGGTGGAAAATCTTGACAGTTGAAGTAAAAGTACTGCTGCTTGTGAATATATAGCATATAGTTTGATGTTTTACACAATCATCTTTATTGTTGTGTAAACTAACAGGGCGGATCGTATTTTCTGTTCATTTAGAGTATTATCTGCACACATTTTATGGGAAAGAACCTAGTTCCGTAGGTAGTTGTATACATATACAAATATATATTACCTAATTAGATAAGAAATTACTGTTTGTATTGTACGGAGACACAATTAGATAGATAAGAAACGGTATTCCCATTATTTTGGAAAGATAGGAACCTTGCTATTATTTCAAAACCTAGTACCTTCTTTCAGAGTTCTGATCGTTTCGTGCTTTATTTTATTACACCCTTACAAATTAACAATTACTTTACAATATACAGGGTACGGCACTGCAATGGGACACATTATAACGCGCTACTGCCACTGCCTACACATGAATGGGTGGGGGAGTTCTGTTTATGACTGATGTGTTTGTTATTACATGCAGTTTAGTACGAGGTTTAGTAGCTATGAATAGGTCATAGACTGGTTCACTTTTATAAAAAACAGCGTTTTAACGGGTTCTAGGGGCATTTCAGACAACATTTGGCCAAATAGGCGTTTTTTACTAATTTGCACCTGCTGAACACGAATATCGATGTTGGCACCTCGAAATCTGAACAGGAAGTCCAGAATTCAAGATGGCGGCCAATTTTCGAAAATGTTGATATTTTCACTCATGCGACCGATTTTTTCGATCTAAAAACGGATTATAATGTTATTCCTGACGGAGGTATGGCACGATAATAATAGTGAACAAATGTTTAAATAATTTCATATAGTTTTTCTAAAGCCTAATTTACATTTGGCAAGTTTACTGGCGGAAAGTACTTTCTGTCAATAAACTTGCTACCCTATTTCTATTTAACTGGCGCTTTCCGCGCATTTACACGTGGCAAGCTTACTGACCGACAGTACTTTCCGCCAGTAAACTTGCCAAATGTAAATTAGGCTTAACGTCAAAGTGCGTAAAAGTGGATTCCTTTTTTTCATAGTGTATTATGGCTTGTTTAAATTTCTTCACATCGTGTAATTATTAAATTATTTCTGTTTTGGCAAGCATTTTAGTTCCTGTGCGTCGTGTGAAAGATATCCGCGATGGTCCATGACCACACATATGGAAGAATTTCCTTTTATTAGAGGAAAACAAAAGAAATCTTGTCGCATCACCTTGAAGAGGCCTCATTTGACGGCGTACTGGTGATTGCGAGAGGCTTCAATGATGAAAGAAAAGTTTTCTGTAACCCTCAGACGACACAGATTTCCTCCTTAGAAGCTTTTCACATCCAGGAAGCGGATACAAGAAAAACGCTACAGATACAGATGCATTCCTGTTGCTTCTTCATCACTTCGAGGTTTCAGGAGCTGCGAAGCTTTAGATCTAACAATTCTGCACTCCATTCTCTTGCGATTCCATCTAATCTTCTCTAGCATTTCATCCATTTCTATCATTACGGCATATCAGGTGTAAATCTCAAGATGTACTTTTTTTATCTTATAAACTATGCAATGTCGCTCAGCCTACCTTATCTATCCTGAATTGAAAATACGAGTAGCTACATTCCCATTCTCCCAACGTTAGATTAATTCCGAAGGCTGCTCTAGATATCGTCCTTTGTCGTAAATAGGATTGCCGATTGCTCGTCAAAACTTTGTAAAAATATCGCAAAGCTCAATTGATTTGTACTATCTAATTGTCAAGAAGACGATTGACCTAACACCATGAGAATAACGAAGGTAATAAATTTGTATTCACTTTTCTATATGCTTTCATTCTTTAATAATAATAATATATCCTGAGGAACGGTAATTAATACCTAGCAAAATAAGAATCTTCCGAAACACCGCAGTATAGTTGAACTCCCTTCATTTTTTAGCGTAACACAACGAAGTTGAGGTAAAGCTTATGTGCTCGTGTTTCCGTCCGTCCGTCCGTCCGTTCCATCGAGATCTCGGCCCCTGGGCCACCTAGAGACTTCGCGTTTTCGCTAATTGATAGCTGTTATGGTCTATATTTGCCCATTTCGATCAGTTTCATTTAACTCCATATTTTGCGCAGACTGCGCAATGCCAACTTTCATATTTATAGGGATATTTCTCTGAAATTTTAACCACAGACCCTTCTAGTAAAGATAAACATTTCGCGCATAGTAAAAATTATGTGGGCATGCGCAGTGACTGCGCAATGCCAACTTTCTTATTTATGGAAATATTGCTTTGAAATTTTAACCTCAGACGCTTCTAGTAAAGGCAAACATTTCGCGCATAGTAAAAATAATGTGTGGGCATGCGCAGTGATGTGTGGGCATACTGCGCAATGCCAAATTTCTTATTTATGGAGATATTTCTTTGAAATTTTAACCACAGACGCTTCTAGTAAAGGTAAACATTTCGCATATGGTAAAAATTATGTGTGGGCATGCGCAGTGACTGC